TATTTTATTTTGCAGAGATAATATTCATTCTCTCTCTAAGACATAAAGAATAGTAATTACTTATGATTATGCATAAAAAATTGAACAGGGAAAGATCTTCTTTTCTCCCTGGTTTTTATTAACGACTATAAGACTTTAATAGACCAACAGGCATAATACTTTGGTAATCGAAGCCCTAGTTAATTAAGTAAATCAAACTGCTTTTCCTGTTCTGATAGCTGCTGTAATACTTTGTGGGATGGATTAGTCCACTTAGATGTCCTAGTGTAAACTTACTTGAAACTTCTCTTGGAGGCTGAAAGACTCAGTGATCTGCGACTGGCCATTTGTAAGAGGTGGCCTCACCCTTTTAGCCTATGGATCAAGAATCGGTATCACATGGGGCATCCCAGGCATTAATGTGGGACGATTTTTCCTTAATCCACAATATAGTATTTTCTTATCTTTCGCTTCATTCTGATGTGATGAATAAAATACCCTAAGAAGTTAAGGTTCTCCTAGCCCAAGGATGCTTTGTGTGGTAAAAACCCTTTATTTAATGCACGTGTGTCGTGGTGGGGGTGGGGGGGAGGGGTGCCCTGGATAAGGCAGGACTCCCGGCCTTGAGGAGATTCTGATTTTAATGAGGGGCATGGGACAGGATCCAGGTCAGACTCTTCTGACTGCTAAGACTGGCAGGAGCGAGGGGCCACGGGGACTCAGGAAAAGAACCCCCATTTCTGCGGGAGACGGGAGGAGGGTTGGACAGACCACAGATGACCTTGAGAAGGAACCGGCTTCTGAGCTGAATTCTGGGGGAGAGGGAGGATTTTGAGAATGAGAGATGGATAAGGAGAGACAGTTACGATAAAAATAATTCTGCAAGTAAAGGCTTGAAGTGAGGAAATGATAGTATAGGATTTAAAAACAGCAAACACCTGATTTGGCAACCACGTGTAGGCTCTAGATATCGTTTATTAAATAGAATAGCACACGGGGCTCAGTCGTGAGGAATAGGTCAGAGAGGGGTTTTGAATGCCAGGTCAAAGACTGCGTATGCAACATGATTAGTTGATTTTTAGGCTTTGAATCTTGCAATGAAAAGTTGTCCAACCCCCTCCCGTCTCCGCAGAAATGGGGTTCTTTTCCTGAGTCCCCTGGCCCCTCGCTCCTGCCAGTCTTAGCAGTCAGAAGAGTCTGACCTGGATCCTGTCCCATGCCCCTCATTAAATCAGAATCTCCTAAGGCCGGGAGTCCTGCCTTATCCAGGGCCCCCTCCCCCCCACCCCCCACCACGACACACGTGCATTAAATAAAGGGTTTTTACCACACAAAGCATCCTTGGGCTAGGAGAACCTTAACTTCTTAGGGTATTTTATTCATCACATCAGAATGAAGCGAAAGATAAGAAAATACTATATTGTGGATTAAGGAAAATCTCCCACATTAATGCCTGGGATGCCCTGTGAATCGATTCTTGATCCATAGGCTAAAAGGGTGAGGCCACCTCTTACAAATGAGTGAATTGCAATCTGAGTCTTTCAGCCTCCAAGAGAAGTTTCAAGTAAGTTTACACTAGGACTTCTAAGTGGACTAATCCATCCCACAAAGTATTACAGCAGCTATCAGAACAGGAAAAGCAGTTTGATTTACTTAATTAACTAGGGCTTCGATTACCAAAGTATTATGCCTGTTGGTCTATTAAAGTCTTATAGTCGTTAATAAAAACCAGGAGAAAAGAGATCTTTCCTGTTCAATTTTTTGCATAATCATAAGTAATTACTATTCTTTTATGTCTTAGAGAGAGAATGATATTATCTCTGCAAAATAAATAAAAATAAATCAGGCCAGGAGTGGTGCACTACCTGTAGTCCCAGCTACTTGGGAGGCTAAAAGAGGAGGATGGGTATGAGCCCTGGAAAGTTTAGGGCCGGGCCTTGGGGGTGCAACATAGCAAAGACACCATTTTTTTCCTAAAAGAAATAAAAAAAATAAATAAACCCCTCCCCCACCAGAATTACAATAACATGTTATAAAATTTATCCCCATAAACAACTTTTTTCCATAAGTAAAAACTTTCCCTTTTAAGTTTATTCACAGGTTTTTTGTCCCTAAGAAAAGGGAAAAATTGCCAAGGGCAAA